ATTAGGTGCTGTCAAATAGATTTCTTCTTTCTTGCACATGTAAATCTGCATCCTCATCTTCATGGAGAACTGGTGAAGGCAAGGCAATGTAAGCGACATTCATGTTTGACAGTGTTGGGTAGTTCAAGTTCCTAATTGTTAAAATATTCAATGGTATATGTACTAGCTAGAAGGGTCGCTTTATTTAGGCATATTATTAACTTTTCCAACTTCAAAAAATCAAACTAGACATGCTTAACTTTTTGCATAGTTACCGTCCAATATCCCTATATACGAAGTACTGGCTAGGTGCTACTTATAATGCGATTACATGCTGAATTTAGTGATTTTGTTAGTAAGTACTGTGTTTCATGATATTTATGTTATCATATACCATTTAACAAGAAAAAAATTACTAAAAACTGGTCCAGAATTTATTGAACCAACAACTTGATATCTGGAAAATATAAATCATAAAATTCTAATTATAAGCATATGAAATGGACACATCTACTTAGTCATCTTGACGTGGTTTAGGAATAGCCATCACACTAATTGATTAAGAAATAGTAGTCGTTTATTAATATGTCAACTTGTATAAACACCATGGAGTATCCAACGATTAGTAAATGTATACCCAGTCTAACAAGGCTACCTTTCAAAGTAGATTGCCTAACAAATATTGATTAAATAATCATGAGATTGACATCAATTTGTTTTGAGACTTGAGTAGAAATAGTTTGATAAAAACTAATCCAATTCCCACTATGATTACTTCTGAAGCAAAACATTGAGGACTTGTAGATTATTTTTTTAATCAAAATTTCTTTGCCAGACAGCTATAAATTTTGAAGTCAAGACAGCAGAATTATAGCAATTGAACAACTTGTGTTATATTATTATGGTGATCACTTTTGACAAAAGCTCCTCGCTAAACAAATGTTTGTTTCGTATGTCAAAAGCTCCTCGCTAAACAAACGTTTGTTTCGTATTTATGCCCCCCCCCCCCAAAAAAAAAAAAAAAAAAAAAAATTCCTCTCATGTGCTCTTAACTTGGCATAACAATTAACAGGCCCACAAAAAACCATATGTAATTCACACACAGAAACGCACAAGATACACACAGATGGAGGAAATTCAACATTTCAGCCACAAACATTCCTTAACCTTCACTCTGGGTAATGATTTTGTGTGTTCTGGTAAATGCTATGGATGCAAAGGAGGCATCTCCGGTCCAGCCTTCCGTTGCTCCTCTGAGAACTGCAGGTATATCCTCCATAGATGGTGTGCTAAACTGCCATACGCCTTAACACACCCCTTTCACCCACAACACACACTAATACTCCAAACCAAACCAGAACCAGTAAATCTTGGTGAGGGGAAACTGAATTACCGTGGTAAGATGTGCCATGCCTGTGGCTGCTCTACCAAGGGCTTCTTCTTCCGTTGTTCTTTTTCTGATTGTCAATTTCAACTTGATGCTGTTTGCGCCCGGCTGACACCCAAAAAAGACCATGAAGAACTTCATGAACACAAGATCAATTGTATCGGCCCAACGCAATCCTTACGCCAGGCCACTAGACACCGTAGAAGTCTTGAGCACCAGATTCAAACACACCCTTTGATCCTCTGTGACATGAATAAGTATTTTGATCATTCCTGTTCTGCTTGAAAGCTGCCTTGAAGATTCCATCTACGTGTGCCTTGTATGCAAACTTTTGCTGCATAAATCATGCTCCCAATTGCCACTAGAGATCAAGCACTCCCTCCACCCACAACACTCTTACCCTCCTTTCAAGAGCATATGATCATGACAAGGAAGAATTTAATGGTGATGAAGAGTGCGATGCTTGTGGCCACCGTGAAATGCGCTTTTTCTTCGGTTGTTTCCATTGTCCATTTGAACTGGACATTCTATGCACTTCGCTAACAGTGCTCACCACAAACCCCCATGAAGATCACGAGCATCTTATTCAACATTTCGGCCAAAACCACCCCTTGATTATATGTGGTATGAAGAACAAATTTAATCCTTCCTGCTCTGTCTGCTTGCTACCTTTTGGGGATTCCATGATTTATGTGTGCCTTAAGTGCAATATTTTGCTGCACGAATCATGTTTCGAATTGCCAACAGAGATCAAACATCATCCCTTGCACCCACAGTACTCTCTCAAACTCTCAGCTCGACCGACTTATAGTAAAGATATAGGATTCAATAACTGCAGAGTCTGTGAAGAGTCAATTAATTATGGTTGCTCATACTATAACTATCCTATATATGAAGGAAGCTATGGGCGTAAACCAGTATGAGTCAGCTCCTATGTTCATGCTAAATGTGCTTCACTAAAGCGCACCATAATGTCCAAGCTTCACCATCACCCTCTTGTTTTCATCAAGAAGAAGGGATCATTTGGTGACTCTATCTGCAAGACTTGTGATAGCTACATCGACACGGCTTTTTTTCATTATTGTGTGACCTGCAATGGCAGTATCCACATCCGTTGCAATCCAACATTACCACCCACCATCAAACTCGAATATCACTTGCATCCTCTCACCATCACAAATTCTCCAGTCAAAAACCATCCGGATGAAAACAAAGATGTAGAATTATACTGTGATGCCTGCGAGGAAAGAAGATACCTATTACACCCAACCTATTATTGTTCTGAATGCCAGTTTGTTGCTCATGTTGATTGTGACTGTGTGATCTATGAGGTATGCCAACATTTGTTTTTACATGTGCTAGGTTTAAATGCATGGCTAGCATTGGATTATATAGATTGTCAGCACCGCCAAATGCCCAAACAAAAATTCAGAAGTCCAAACATGACAAAGATCATCTTTAATTGCTTTATTTGTATGAATGATATTGTGCTTAAACAGTAATGCTAAACCAAAAAAAAAAAATTAATGATTAAATGTTAACAATATACATGTGTTTGGTGTCGTGTAACCTTATAATAAATGAATTTTGTAGATTTAAGGGTGAGTCCAGTCAAATTTCATTTAATCCCCTTGACCATGTAGTGATGGATTGGCGAAATACTCTAGCGGCAGTTATTCCCACATGCATGTATGTATGTATTTGCAAGAACTTGTAGGAAACATGCAGGGGCAGCTGAAGTAGTGTTGAAGACTGCATCCATGAATTGAAAACTATTACAAAGTAAACCAAAACTAAATTTCAATAAGCATGCATGTTGACATTAGGAGAAGCTAATCACTCAGTAGCTTTGTTCACCCTCAGCTGCTGTGATGTTTTTTTACTAAGTATTGGAATCCTACTACTGTGTGATCATTCAACAACAGATGATACCCAACATCTAAAAAAGGCACAGAAAATTATATATATTAACTTACGTCTCTCATCTGTTTCGAATATATTACCAACATGCAAAAATAAATTTCTTAAAATTTTTCATTTTTTGGTTGGTTATCAGGTTGTACATGTACTAGAGGAAGAGTGGTCCTTGACTTGCAAAACTGAGGATACAAAGTTGGAAACTTCACCGGATATGATTAAAGAGAACATTGATGAAGTGGTTAGTAGTACTATCTTGGAAACAGATTTGGAGGCATTGAAGTTGGAGAGTGATATATGGGCAAGTGAAGAGGAAGGAGTTTAAGAGAACATTGATGAAGTGGTTGGTGATGCAATGAAAGCAGAGGAGGAGCAGGAGGAGGAGGAGGAGGCAAAAGTAGGGATTGATTCAGGGACAAGTAAAAAGGTAGAGACTAGAGAGATTGAGGCACAGAAAATTATATACTATTAACTTGCATCTCTTATCTGTTTCAAATCTGCTATCAACATGTAAAAATAAATTTCTTAACTTTTTATTATTAATTATTATTTTTTTAACTTGGTTATCAGGTTGTATGTCTACTAGAGGAAGATTCGTCCTTTGACCTGCAAAACTGAGGATACAAAGTTGGCTTCAACGGAAATGATTAAAGAGAATATTGATGAAGTGGTTAGTGATGCAATGAAAGCAGAGGAGGAGGATGAGGAGAAGGAGAAAGACCTGGTTGAACTAGATGAAGATATTGCAAAGCTTCGCGCACAGGTGGAGGTACGGAAGGAAGAGCTAGAGGATTTGATAGCAAAATTAGAAGAACTTGAAGAGAAGCGTTCACAACATCACACACTTAAAATGTCAAGCTCAGGCAACTAATTGGATTGATTCAATGACGGGTTTGGCGTTGGTGTGATAAATTGCAAAAGTATAGGATGCTTGTTCTGACACTGGTGTAATTTGTGACATCACTTTAATATCATTAGCTGTAAGAATTCACTTTCATATGATATGCTAAAGTGTCATGCACTGGCAATGGATGGCTTCATGTCTGCATAGTGAGCAAAGCATGGCCAAAATTAGTGTTTGTGTTTATATAGATATGGGTTAATTTGGCTAAAAAAACCCGCCTTGCTAAGCCTTTGATGGAGGTGGGCCGGTGAGTACGTTTTTTCATTGCCATAAGTTTTCCTTTATTCTTGTAAATTTTGCTCTCTATGATGGTTTTGATGGTCAAATAGTTTTTCTTGTAAAATTATATTATAATATAAAATTTGAGGGGAGAATACATCTAGAACAAGTACTGTTCATATCCCAGTCATCTGGACAACTTTAGTTTCTTTGCTTCAGCTCCAAAAGTCGTCCTGTTGGCTAGGAAGATTCAGCAAGACTTAAAATGAGGATGAAAGACTTGATGACTTGTCAGCGGCAAGAGGAAGGTTCAGCATGACTTAAAATAAGGAGATAGACTTGATGACTTGTCAGCAGCAAGACCAATTAATAAGGACCACAAGAAAGAAAAATGAATTGGCAGTCACGATCAAGACGTCAAGCAATGAATTGGTGCGGTTTAGACCAATTCATGGTTAAGTCTTCTTGTTTGCTTCCAAGAAATTGAAGAGGTGGGTCTCTATCAAACTCCTTTCTCATGACCCAGAGTCTGTTTCCAAGTCTTCTTGTTTTGAATCAATCTTATGTAGCTTATTATTATTATTTTTTTTTTATTTTTACTTTTCTATCTATGTATGTAGTGACACTTTAAAAGACTAAACAGTAGCATATTCCAGAGCTCATCTGTTTGCTTTCAATAATTTAATGGATTTATTCATCTTCTTCTTACTCTCATCTCTTACTTTCATAGGTACAGAGGCTCTTGATGCCAATTGCCCAGCAGTGAGGTGCACTGATGGTGCTCCTGATATAAGGTTCCCTTTCCGAGTTGAAGGCCAGCAACCCCAACGTTGCGGTTACCCTGGTTTCGAGCTGAGTTGCAAACAAAACCTAACTATAATTCACTTTCCATCTTATGGGGATTTAGTTGTGAAATCCATATCGTATGATATCAAAAAACTAAGTCTTCTTGACCCGAAAAATTGTGTTCATGAAGTGTTTCTGAATCTCAATCTAACTCTAACAGCATTCCGCTATTATTATGTTGTGAAGAACTACACATATCTCAATTGTTCAGCTGCGCTTTTGTCGTCTTCTATGCCAGTTCCATGTCTAAGTGGCTCTAGTTATTATGTTTATGTTGTAGAATCATCTGAAACTACACCAGTTTCTTGCAAGGCTGTGAGAACTATTGCAATTCCATTTGCATATAGTCCTTATCTATCCGACAATAGGTTTGGTCTTGGATTAACATGGGACTCGACCGGGTGTGAAGATTGTGAAGCCAAAGGGGTCTTTCTTTCTAAATCAGGACTACCACTACCAGGATGTTTCATGGTGCATGAGAAAGGTAATTTTATTCTCTCTTTTATACAAAAATCTTTATAAATGATTTTTCTGATACAGTGAATGACCATTAAAACTTCTCTATAATGCATCCTGCTGTTAATTGCATATATATTTGCTATAAAATTGAGGAAATATATGGACCATCTATATTGTGAAATTATGTAAGAATATTATTATATAAATAAGAAATAAAGAATCTAAATTCAATATGGTTCCTAGTAATTCTTCATATGAATCAATTTTAACTAGCATTCACTCTTTATGACGTAGTAAAGAGGATTACACGGCCATTTGTTGTATTCATAAAAACTGAACATTATGCCATACTTCATTCGGACAGGGTTTAGCAAGTGGTTAGTAAAAACAGAAAACTAGAATGTTCTGGTCAGACATGGCTGTTGCAATTAAATTATATGTTTTACCTCAATCCTGACAATCATTCAAAGTAGTAGCTTCCATAGAGTTTGTTTTGCAGACAACCTTGTCTTCTTTGCCTAGGATCCTAATTAAGGCGTCTCAAGAATTGATGTTAAGGAATGAATATTATTGGGTATCACCTGCTCGTACTTGGTTTGAGAAGGATGGGGACGGAGAATCTGAAGATGCGCTGTTCAATCTATTAAAAACCCCAAGCAAGTTAGTATCAAAATTAGGAAGCACCAATATAGTCTGTCAAAAGCCTTAGACAAGCTAATGTTTTAAGGCAATAAAGGCTCCTTTCCTTGCTTCTTTTTAAGAGTGTGAAGACTTTCCTGGGTGAGAATTGACTTGTCTTGCATACTATCTTCGAAAAAGCAGAATAATGAGACACTATAGTTTAGTCCAGAAGTGGTTAAATATTTATAAGGATTTTAGATTAGATTTGAATGCCACGTTACACAAGGATATAGTTCTGTTGTGGCCAAGGATATCTATGGTTTTTGGGATTTACGAATGATGTCTGTGTTATTATGCTTAGATGACATCAAGAGATTGACAGATTCAGAGAGACTTCTAACCAGCTCAATCAAATCAGAATATACTCCCATTAGACTTTGTAAAAAAGGTCAACAGAACTACAAAAACACAGTAGAGAACCCCTTAGACCTCCCACCGATCTTCCACAATGTTATCCAGTATCATTTTCTTGGTGTAGTTTCTTGGGGAATGTAATATATTGTTCACTCGCACTTGATTTACATTGAAAGAGCCACTTCTCTCCAGACAAATCACATCCTCTGTCTTCATCAACTTGTTCACGGACTCTTAATTTACATTGAAAGAGCCACTTCTAAGAATTAAGTTGTCGCTAGTATTGTTAAGATAAGTAATTATCTCCATTGAGTTAAACCAGAAGTATTTATACTCTTGGATATACAGCCAGTTAATTGTGATGGTATGGCATGCCGTACATATACAGACTCGAAGACATTTGTATGTATTATCACTGCTTTTGATAGTATACACTAAAACAGAGAGCCAGTTAATAAATAGTTGGTTTTGATTTTATGATAAGCTCTTGATGTTCCTTATTTTCCTTAGGGTAAAAATGATGTAGTATAGGCACGGGCTGCAATAGTTGCTGATTGAAAAGTAAATGTTTGAGGATCTTGTGAATTTAAGGTATAAGTGACCAAAATGATGTTTCTTTTTTAAATATTCTCAAATAAAGATTATACTTCAAGGTCAAATCTCCTCTCAATATTTTATTGCTTCGGATTTCATGTATATTTTCCAGAGAAAACATTAGAGGTTGATTGGTAATTTTTTTTTCATGTGTACAGTCATCGGTTTCACGATCTTCATTTTCATGGTTGCAACACTGATTAGTGTAAAGACCTATTGCTCCAAGAAACTAGAGTGTTGCAGCAAAAAGAATAATCAACTTGAACTTCTATGAATGAAGCAGAACTCGGAATAAGTTGTCCATCTAGCTTGAGACTACAGAAGGAAAGTTTGACAGTGAAACCAAATCCATTGGCATCGACAACACAAGAACAGTTATTGATGTGTATAATATATAGATGTGTATAAGTCACCAATGATATGGTCTTCGTGTCTCCATAGTGAGCCAAGCATGACCAAAATTATTGATGTGTATATGTATGGATGGGTTAATTTGGCTAAAAAACTGGCCTTGCTAAGGTGTGAGTTGCGCAATGTGAAATAATTGCGAAAAACAAATATGAAATTATACCTAGAAGGAATGATTATGTTGGATTTGTCTTTTTATTTGATTTTTGTTAAATTAAATTTTATTGAAATAAAACATAATTATCAATTCACAATGCAAAAATTAAACTGCACGCGGTAAAGTATAATGATTCACTGTCTTCGAAGTAAAGTATAATAAACTTTGAATCAGACTCACTCTCACTTCACTTAACTAAGAACTAATTGTTGAACGTCTTTAGCTTTGCAACTTCCCCGGCTCTAGACTTTAGGCTTACTCCCTTGATCTTTATAGAAAGATTGCTCTATCACTTTTTCATTTTCTTTAAATTTGAATTGATGATGATAAAAGAGCTCTACTTTTTCTTTTCTTTTTTAATGGTCTCAATGAATATTCAATATTTTGGACCCCAATCAAAGAGGAAATAACATCCTAAATCACTCAAGCATATAATATAAGTTCTCAAAAATATAAATCAGATTTCTCTAAAAATCTATTTCAAAAAGCTTTATAGGGTTTTCAAAGATTAATCTCACAAGCGTAATCATTTATTTAGTTAACGAATTATTGAATTTAAATCGTATCTGAATCATCCTGTTAAATTTTCAATCAATATTTGAATTATGGAATTCGAATTCGTTTCGAATTAAAATCCCTAATTTAAAGTAGTCTTGTCAAAAATAAAGGTCACCCAAGCAAGCAGCAGGAAGACTTGAAAGTGAGTCAACAATTATAAGTACGAGTGTGATGAACATGAAGTTTTTTTCTATTCTGTGCGGACAATCCAGTGGCTGCAATTTAAAGTCATTTCAAAGAGAAGAAGCCATTTATTTCCTACAGAATGAGGGCCGTTTGGGAAGTGTAGTGTGGCGTAGTGTAATGCTCTAACTTAGAATAGAATAAGCTTTTTGTGGTGTGATATTCTGAAATGAGAACAAAATATGTTTGGTGACGAAAATTTACTCTGAGAATTTTGGAACAAAAATATAATAGAACATATTTGGTAATGTATTTCGTTCCAAGAAATATAAGAACAAAACATATTTGACAAAGTAAAAGTATAACCAAAATTACTAAAAAAAAATTATGAAATATATATTTTTTTTAAGTGACAAATTCCGAAACTATAAGTTACCCAAAAAAAAATTGTTAGGTTTTCTTTATTAAAAAATTATCAATAAAAATTTGTAAATATTATCAATAAATTTCAGAAATTAGTACGAGTGTTGGGTTTTTTTAATTAAAAAATTACCAACAATAGCAGGCCTAGTAGCAGGTGGAGGAGGGAGAAAGGAAAGGACGGGATGATTTAATTAATAGTACGATTCATTAAAGGACGCCAAACAACCCCACAACAGTAAGGCAATTGTTGCCCAAAAAAAAACACAAACAACACATAATGTTGATGTTGAAAACTCTGTGAGGAAAAAATCAAATCACATTGAAGAGGACGTTGCATCAATTTTGACTCGGTCAATAAGAATCTTTTCTATATACTTCTGTTTTTATATGTACCATATTTTCTTTACCCAAAAAATTGTCAATTACAAAATTCACACCATACACGAGGTGGGGTGAGGATTTTTTCATCGCCTTAAATTTTATTATTTTTCTAAAATTTGCTCTTAATGATGGCATTGATAGTCCACAGCTTTTATTATAAAATTATATTATAGAATATAAAATTTAGGGGAGGAGAGAATTTAATACTTTATTATTTATACATCAATTAATTATATGTTATCAAATTATTTTATTTTAACACTACAGCACTAATACAACTGGTGCATTTATGTTGAACAAGTACTGTTCATTAGCTCAGGTCTTGGGATAAGTTTCTTTGCTCCAGCTCCAAAAGTCATCAAATTAGATAGGAAAAGTTAGCAACACTTTAATGAGGAAAATGACTTGATAACTTGTCAGCAGCAAGACCAAATAATAAGGGACCACAACAAAGAAAAATGAATCGGCACCTCTCACAATCAAAGACTACTAAGTCTATAGACTTGCATCAAATTATCTGTACTTCTTGAAATTACATATTTGTAAAACAAAATAAATAGAAAAAACTGAAATTAATTAAATTAATTCACTAAATGTGCATGAATACACCTTGTCGAAAGAAAAAAAAAATTGTAAAACATGTTGAGCTTTTTTTAATATTAGTTCTAATTACCATTGGTTGAATTTAAATAATTATTAAATATTTTTAAAAAGAAAAATTATAGAAACAAGGAGTTTTGTGATCCTTTTTACACATGGAGTTAAAGTCATAACAATAAAGTAAACAAATTGATAATTTATTTTATTTTTTTTATATATTTTTTTATGTTTTTTATTGTGTAAGTTGAAAGCTCTCTCTACTCTTGTACAATTATTTGAGACTTGAGAGAGCAGTAAACTTTCAAGGGTGCCATTTGTGATGTTTGGCCAGAGAGCTTACCCGTGAAGCTATCACTACTTGCCAATCTCCGATCAGTGCCGTTTTCGATCACCGGTCAGTGCATCTCCGATCATTTTCCTCTCCGATCAGAGAATGGTGAACCCATCAGTAACCTTTTCTTTCTTTTTTTATTTTCGCTCTTTCGTTGTAGAACCCACCTGTGAACGACAGAACTGAACCTCTGTTTTTTTTTTTTTTTTAATTATTACTTTTTGCACTTTTTATCTATCCGATGAGTGTTGTGGGAATAACATATAAGATCAGTATTTGACAGTTTTTGATGATAGTTTTATTTGTAGTTAGTGTTGTGAAATTGTGAACCATGCCTCCACTCAGTATAAAGGTTATTTACATAAAATTACCTTTAATTATGCAAATTACATAGTTATGTTGTTCAATTCCAAATATTTAAATTGAGTTTGTTTTCCATCATGCCTGGGTTATGTTTGACCGCATAGAATTGGAGTCTTGGAATTGAAATCGGTGGAATTGGACAAAAGCAACTCATAAAATTGAACTAAATTTTTCTCTAATTCCAACAATTCCAATTCCATGCAACGTAACACAAACTTAGTTTACTTATTTTACATGGCTAGATATGCTATTCAAATGACTCTTGTTTGATTTAGCTTTCATAATGTTATGAGGTCTTTGATTGCAGTTACTGCTCAAGGTTCTCAAGAATGTTTGGAAGTTTGGAACTGGTGTCTGATTTGAGAACTCTGTTGTGTGCTGTGTTACTTTGAGGCACATGTTTAATTTGGCTTCACATCTCTCGATTATGGCTTTTGACAAGTTTGTGCTAATTGGTTCTTAATCTAAAATTAGTAGCTGGGGGATAATTAATTATTTCATTTTAAAATTTTTGGAAATGCACTTATGCCTATTGATTATTTCTCTAAACTAAAATCTAAACATTCTTATTTATTTATTTATTTTGGACCAGTAACATTCAATGTTAAGCCCTTGGCCTTTTGGGGCTTACAAAAAACCAAAAAACAAACCTCAATTTTGGTTGCTTCTTCTATTGATTTTCTTGGGAGAGACACGAGTTTGGTTTTATGTGTTTGCTTTAAGAAAAAAAAATTCCTTAACACCAGTGAGAAGCAAATTATGTAAAAGCAGGTTGAAACTAGTCCATCCCTACTCAGGTTCATTTGTGACGTACTGATATGTGACAAGAAGAGTAATTTGGGATTGAATTTATTTAGTTTGGGATCCTTTCCTATTCAATTTTAACTCTGCTAGAAAAGAATTGACAGTACCTGGTACGGTGGATTGGTGGTTCTTCATAGTAAGACACTCTTTAATCTATCTCGGCCACTGTATGATGTTCACATAGAAAGTTGTAAACTGAGGATTGTTCCCATATAATTTATCCGCTTTGTGTTTTCTCATGAATGTTTGCACATGGTTAAAGGATAAGTTGTGTTGGTTTGATTGGGATAATTATCATTTTGTATATCATTGCATTTCCTTTATTGGCTAGTGAAGGTCAATCTCAGAATGGCTTGTTTCTCATCTTCATTTTTTTTCATTACTTCTCATTTTCTGCAAATGAAGTTTCCTTATTATACAAAGTTTTAATTGATATTTTTCTGTTTCAGGATCTTGTGCCCCACCTTGCTATCTTTAGGAAGCTTGAAGAACACAAGGGTTGTGTGAACACAGTTAGCTTCAATGCAGATGGTGACATTCTTGTGTCAGGCTCTGATGACCGGAGGGTTATACTCTGGGATTGGGAAACAGGGCATGCTAAACTTTCATTCCATTCGGGTCATGGAAACAACGTTTTCCAAGCAAAGATCATTCCCTACACAGAGGACCGAAGCATTATTACTTGTGCAGCTGATGGGCAGGTAATACATTTTCTTAAGTGTTTATGTAGGATACCATGACCTCAAGCACGTTATTTCATTTGAATTTGGCACCACCTTGTAACAGAAAGAATGTTGAAGATCTCCAATTGAAAAAGTATGTTGTTACTTAAACCAACCATTTCATAGAATGATATTTTCTTTGAACATCAATGCCGGCTTAAACAGTTTAATGCCTTAACATCAGTACTATAGGTGCAAGTTCGAGTCTTAGAATATCCACTTTGTTAAATATCAAATGCTAGGTTTATCTCCTTCCTTGCCAGGATCTTCTTGTTGTGGTGGGACTAGAATTGGGTAATGTCCCTTTTATATTTTTTTTGGCATATGCCAAAATATATCAAGGTTTAAAGGGCCAAAAGTGATCATTCATCCTCAGAAATGAATGCTCTTCAAGACCTTGAATTGATAAACAGGAAGCTATTAATGATTGTTATAGACATTGGATTTTAGCTCAAATATTCATTCTCAGTTTTTTGTGAACTCGAGTAATAAAATATTTTGTTCTTAATTAAAGTGTGCTCCATTTTAGGTAAGACATGCTCAGATTCTGGAAGGTGGGAAAGTGGAGACTAAATTGCTTGCAAAACATCAAGGACGAGCTCATAAGATGGCCATTGAACCAGGAAGCCCTCATATTTTTTATACATGTGGTGAGGATGGATTGGTCAAGCATGTGAGTCATGTTCATCTTGCTAAAATTGTTTTTATTTATTTCATTATTTCTAGATAAAACTAAACCATTGATGAAAACGAAAGAATGTGGTACATAATTTGCATTGGTGGGACCCCATACGAGTCCCATATTTGGAGGTCTCTTTGTTTGTCAATTAATTTTGTGTAATTGATTGATTTTTTATCTCATCTGTCCATACTTTTTTATCAAATTTTGATATTATCATTTATTCTCACAGTTTGATCTGAGAACTGGAGCTTCAACAGAACTTTTTACTTGCCATTCTATCCACAGGATGAGTGATACGCAAATCGTTAAGCTACAGGCAATTGCAATAGATCCAAAGAATCCTAATCTTTTTGCAGCTGCGGGATCAGATGAGTATGCTCGGCTTTATGATATCCGCAAATATAAGTGGGATAGTTCAACCGATTTTGGTCAGCCAGCTGACTATTTTTGCCCCCTTCATTTGATCGGTGATAAGCAAGTGGGAATAACAGGGTTGGCATTTTCAGATCAGAGTGAACTTCTTGTATCCTATAATGACGAGTTTATCTATCTCTTTACGAATGATATGGGATTAGGACCCAATCCAGCTCCATCCTCTCCAGTATCTATGGCCAGTGATGCGGATCATTCCAATGTGGACACTGATGTCAAAGTTCGTCCCCAAGTCTACAAGGGTCACAAGAATCGTCTTACGGTGAAGGGTGTGAGTTTTGGGTCTAAGTGTGAGTATGTCATGAGTGGGTCAGATTGTGGCCGTATTTTCATATGGAAGAAGAAAGATGGGGAGCTAATATGTGTTATGGAAGCCGATAAGCATGTTGTGAATTGTATCGAGTCTCATCCTCATGCCACTGTGCTTGCCAGCAGCGGAATTGAGACTGACATAAAGATATGGACTCCAAACGCTACTGAGAGCGCTACTATAATATCCCGAATTTGAATAAGGTACTTTTGTTAGTACTATGGTTTTTTATTATTATTTTTTTAAAAAAGTTAGTATTATGGGTATGAGGTCACTTAGAGCTTATTTGTAAACCGAATTAAATTTAAAATTTGACTAAACCCAACAATATGGGTCAGTTAAGAAAATTTATAAGTAAAAGGATTGGAGAGAATTAGAATTTTGTAGTGGTGATGAAAAATAAAAAATTTATAAAGTAAAGTGATTAAAAGAAAAATAAAAGAAAATGATTAAAGAGGCGCAAGGTCATGTGTCACTATCATGTAGTGCTTTGTGTGCAAACTTTTAGTGAAAGTCTTCAGTACCACACTGATAATACATAGATGGACTTGTGGACTTGTGAGCGCGCTTGTAATATTCTTAGACCTGTGTGTGTGTGCGTGTGAAAAATGTGCATGTGTAATATATTATATAATTGTATATATACAAACTAAATGAATCTTAATTGTTCCAGAAGATATATTTAGATAATAAGCATGATGTATGTATGATCTCATGCATGTAATATGTAATTCACATGTTTAGAAGCTTTCTGGGGAAGCTTTATACCTTTTAATCAACTGGGTCATGGAATTGGACAGTATACTAAGGATAAGTTGAACATGAGAGATAGAGATTTGGGTTAGTGCAAAATATTATATGTACATGTATAAAGCATGTGAATGAAGAGAAGAATAACAGAAAATTAAAAATGGCGTGGCCACCGAAGAAAACAAGGAAAAGAAAGAAAGAAAACAGAAAAGTGAGAAAAATATGAGACGTGGGAATTTTACTGGCTATATTAACTCTTGATATGTTTCGTGCATTCATATATGTTAAACTCATTAAATCCTGCATTGGTCTAGTTCAATCAGTAAACTTCATGTTGTGATTATGTGGTATTGGAACAAGAACTATGTGCAATGTGTGTTGACATGGATTATTTGGATATGTATAATATATATATATAGATATAGATATAAATATCTGAATGGGATGGTGTGTATTGGGAATGAAATGAGATTAAATCCATGGTAAGATGGGGAAAATTCTAGATTGGAAAATGTGATTTTGTATAACGTCTCTAAAGTGTTTGAAGAAATGCTTGAATGAATACTTGTAACATATGGTAAATTGTTGTGATGAAATTAATTCCCTACAATATTAAATATTTTGAACGTTGATCGTCTTTGAAAGAGGAATGGATTATTCATGTGTTGTGAAATGGGAATGATGATATTGATTATGAGAGTATTGTGTTGTGACCCATAAAGCAAGTAAGGGTGGAGTCCTAGGGTGCAAAACCCAAGCCTTTACGAGTCTACAATGGGTTAGTAGCTGGTAAAGCAGGGAAAATAACGGGGCTTGCACAATAGCGAACTATGGTGCCCAGGGGCGGGAATGTGGTACGGTCTTCAAGCCCCACATGTTGTGCATTGTTAGACAAAGAATGTCGTGATATTGACAAATCTTAGGCAATTAGCTACCCTTAGAAAGGTAAAGAGCTAAAAGTTTGTGAGAATTTAGGATGCTCACTACCACATTGTTGTGATGGGTGTCATTGTTGTGACCCTATAAATTATGTTCAACTACTGATATTTTTGCCAGAAATGATTTGTATAGTTTAAGGAATAATTCTTGTAGAAATGTTTATTTAAAGAAATGCACACACACTACACTCGCACATGCCACCACATCATGTTTAGTATTGTTAAGTGTTATTTCTAGTGGCCATGTGTTAGCCCCTTGACGGTTGTCCAAGGGAAGACATGGGGATTTCAAGGCCATGCCATGTCTTGGGAATACTTTGGTTTTGGTTAGACAGCCATGAGGATTGCTCAGGGGGTTGTCAGCGTGCACAAGATGCTTAGCGTGCACACAAGATGCTTAAAAGGATGCTCGGCGTGCACTGGGGGTGCCCAGTGGCACTTTCGTAAATATGGCGAAAAGTGAAACTTGGAGTTTTGACTCGGGATCTTTATGGGAGGTACCTTGAGTCCATAGAAGCTGGTTGGCGCAGACGGCACTCAATTTGGATGTCGGGAAAGGTCTGAAAGGCCATTATGACTCCTCAAGCATGGGTGATGTTTACTCCTGTCAGAGTGCTGGATTTCCTTAAGACTATATTAGGGGGGGTCTGTTGAGCACATCGGTTGGGCTATGGCATGGCTTGCTTAGAGGGCTTAGCCAACGTGCATGGGCACGTGTTGCACCACTCCAAGATGGTTGCACGAGTGGGGAGCATCCAAGATATTGAAGGGCAAACAAGTGGGCACCGACACGCGCGCTGGTGTGTAGCGGCGCGCGTGCGGGCATGCAGGTGGGCGCGCGGGCTGGCGTCTAACCTAGTTTGCGCGAGCGTCTAGCTCGGCGTGCGCATGGGCGTCCAGGTGGGTGTACAGCCACGGGCGCATGAGGGTTCAAACATGGCGCACGAAGAAGGGCACTAGTGTGTGCGCCGGCGTGCACTTTGGTGTGCACCCGAGGGTGCACACGGGCGTGCATGGCTTGGCACGCCGTGCACTCAGAGACATATATATGTGGGTGCAGATTGGCGGACTTGGCTTGGGCTAGGTTCACAAGGTTGACTCAGATGTGACTAGAGCATGAACAACACAAAGTCATGGCTTGCGGTTACAAGAGGTGGTGGCTTAGTGGGCTCGGTCGGTTGGGGGAAGTTACTAGTACTTCCCACTCATCATGCGAAGTGGGGGAGTGCTGAGTAACCTCCCAAACATGTGGCACAATTCTGAGAGGACCAACACATAGGCGGTTAAGGGTGGTTTCCTCCACTATGCAGAATCTAACTTCTTGTGGTTATGTGGCATGAGCAGAACATGCCAACAAGTCTAGCAGTTGGGCTTGTCAACTGCATTATAGTGCTGGCTCATTTAGAGAGTGCCAGCACAACCCTAGGTGGATGGGGGTGTCATCCATCATCTTAGTGGGCAGTTATGGGCGGTTTTGAGAGTGGCCTATATAATGCTAAGGTGGGCTTTGTAGAGGGAACAGAGAAGAGGGTGTGAGCCTTGGTTGTTCCTTGTACGAACTCATGTTCCTTTGTAATATGTTTAATATGAGCAAAGGTTGGGGCTTGTCCCTGTAACTGTGTGTGCCTTCTTTATATTTCTATACTATGTGTATTGTATTGTTGTGTTGGCTGAGACTTGGTGGCCCCAAGTGCCGTTGCAGAGGCAAAAATTCGTGGTATAATTTAGCCCTGTGACACCATGTATAGCTCACACCTTACTTTTGCAGATAAATAAAGCCGAGCGTGACTCCCATAGAAGCTTTTGGCTTTTGGCTAGTGTTATTTCTATTGGGCATGTGTACCTGTATGATAGATATATGAAAAACTATGTTTTTATGATACTTTGTATATATTTGGACGGCTTATAGTTAATGTAACGGAGAGTGGGATCTGTAAAGTGAGTGTTGTTCTGTTTCGGAAAACTTATTGCAGAACAATCCACTTTAGGGATTTATAACTCGTTGATCCTTTTGAGTTCAATTGTGAAATCTAATATGGTTGGATAAATTTATGTATTAGCTTTGATTTGTTACATAAAGGGCCCAAAATGAAGTTAAATTAAGGGAGTTATAGTGATTTTGCCCGCGCACAGAATCTGATCTTTCTGTATTGTTTCGACCATAACTCATATTCCATTTTGAATCTTTGAGTGATTCCAAAGAAATTTTAAACTAGATTCATCATAGAACTAATCTGAAAAGTTTCATGGTAAATGGATATGTTGTTTGAGAGAGATTTGATTTTAACAGGAGGACTGATTTACATTGTGAATGAGTCGATTGAAAGTACAGTTCACTCAGCAACACTGGATCAACTTTGAAAGACCATAACTTAGTCGTTTTAAATTTTAAATTTTAAATTGAAGCTCTTGAAGAATGATTCAATTAAAATTATTTTCATTTCAAAATTCTAATTGTATTGAGAGTTATTAAGTTTGAAGTGTGAATTTGAAGTCGACCTTGTTTGCGCTCGGCTGAAGCCCACACAAAACCATGAAAGCAGTACGCGTGAACACCTCTGTATTGATAATGAGCATCAGCTGATCAGCCAAACACATCCCTTGGTACTATGTGAAATGGTTAAGAATTTTGATCGTAACTGTTCTGGTTGCAGCCTAACCATGGAGGATTCCATGATCTATGTTTGCGTCAAATGCAATCTTTTCCTGCACAAATCATGCGCCAAGTCTCCTCCTGAGATCACACACCCTTACCACCCATAACATCCTCTCTTTCTCGTGGCAAAGGCATCTCATCGCAACATTTATTATAGAAAGCATAGAGCTAGACAGTGCAATGCCTGTGGGTACCATTGGACGCACTTCTACTTCACCTGTTTTGAGTGTTGATTTAAACTGGATGTTACATGCGCTTCGCTGATACCTACCAAATACCATGAAGGTGGTGGTGGTCATGGTGAGCACCATTGTGAGGATCAACTACTTCATCTAGGCAAAAATCATCCCTTATCTCTGTGTGATATGAATAAGAATTTTAGCCCATGCTGCTCTGTTTGCTTGCTTCCTTTTGCGGATTCCATGATCATCTATGTTTGCCTTCAATGCAAACTTCTACTTCACAGATCCTGCTGTAATTTGCCATTAGAGATCCAACATCCCTTCCACCCACCAGCACCTGTGATGTCACCCTCCTTCCACATCCACAACCTACTGCTGATACGAGTTATTTTGACTGCAAAGTATGTTTTGAGTCAATTAATTATGGCTGCTCCTACGTATGTTCAAAATTGTTTTATAACCACGGCAGAGGACAGGGTACATGTAATTTCTGTATGCATGCTAAATGTGCTTCACTAAAGCCCACCGTAAGGTTTGTTATTCACCCTCACCCTCTTGCTTTATTCAAGGCAAAGCAATCATTCAAACTCTACTCGAAATAGGAAGTACCTTTTCTCCACTGCATTCCGTTGTGTAGACTGCAACTACAATATCCATATCCATTGTCTCCCATCATTACCATAAAATATGACTGTCACAGACATCCCCTCACCCTCACAAGTCTCCAGTCAAAGACTTTACAGAAGAAGATGAGGACGCGAGAAAAGAAGAAAGCTAGTTGTCCCTGTCTATTATTGTGCTGAATGTCACTTTGTTACTCATGTTGACTGCAATGATGTGCTCCGTCAGGTACATTTACATTTGGTTATACCTGAAAAAACATGACAAAAATCATCTTTGCTTGATTTTTAGGAATGATATTGTGCTTAAATGAGTAATGCTAAACATTAGTTACAAAAAAAAAAAATCATGATCGATTACATGTTGAAGAACATTTGTTTGGTTTCATGTAACCTTATCATTTATAAATAGATTTGGTAGACTTAAGGGTGGTACAGTCTAATTTCAATTGATCACCTCAAACTTGTAGCGATGGATTGGCGAAATACTCTAGCACCAGTTAGACCCACATGTATGTATGTATTAGCAAGAACTTGTAGGAAACATGCATGGGGCTGAACTCTGAAGTAGTGGGAAGATTACATCCATGTATTGAAAACTATAAGTAAGTAGACCAAAATTAAATTCCAATAAGCATGCATGTTGACAATCTGAAACAAAAACTAGTAACCCTTTGAGAGAATCAAAAACAATTTTTTATATAAAAATTAAGATAGAAATATCATCTTGGAATTAAATTATTAAATTCTAATCTTTTTTCAGTCAATTTAATTTGTAGAAAATTTCCTGATTACAATAAGGCTATACATTAACATAGATGAAGATGATGTAGTTGTGGTCATTGATCACCATATGCATGCTCTCTTTTGTCATAAGATATTGAACCTCAGCCCATTGTGATACTGTTACACTTGGATGCAAATGATAATCAACCTTCTGGGCACTTGAACTGTCTGAAATTTCTAAAGAATCGGTGAATCTCTAATTCGATCAAAGCAAGTCAAATATATATATATATATATATATATATATATAAGGCTCTAGCTAGGGGACGGCCAAATTTAGGAGAAGCAGATCACTCAATAGCTTTGGGCATCTCCGGGTGCTAGCTGCTGTTTTACTAAATGCTTTTACTTGTGTCATCATTCAACGAACAGACGAAGTCCAACATCTCAAAGCTAAAGGCACATAAAGTTATCTTAACTTGTGTCTCTCATCTGTTTCAAATCTAATGTTAACGTGTAAAACATTTTTTTTTTTTGGGTTGGTTATCAGGTCGTGCGTCTACTAGAGGAAGACAGCTGCTTGACTTGCAAAGATGAGGATACAGTGTTGGAGGATAAGGCAAAACAGAAGATAAAACTAGATAAAGAGACTGAAATGGTTAGAAAAGAGGTAGAGACACATAAAGCAATGTCAGAGACAAAAAAAAGCAAAGCAGAAGATTAAACTTGATAAAGAGATTGAGATGGTTAGAAAAGAGGTAAGAGACACAAAAAGCAAAGTTAGAGGCTCTAATAAAAAAGTTAGAGGCACTTGAGGAGGAAAGTGCACAACAGACTCCAAGTTGGAGGGCCAGACCACAAGTGTAAGTTCATCAAGTGTAGATTCATGATGTTCATCAAACTTCATTTAAATACTAGTCACAGTGGTGGGTATCATTTGGTTAATTTAAGTCTATGTTAGTTGTGTAAAACAAAAGGCATATGACATTTTTCTTTTTTCTTTTGGGTTTGGACATTATGCCTGCGGTACTTATTTCTTTGTTTGCAAATTTGGTTTGATGTAATTATACAAACAAGTAAACAGTATCACAGGACCTTAAAACCACCATAGATCTGCAAACACAAATTCACAACACAAGCTGTGTATTTTGTAGTTGTTTTGTTCTAGTTATTGTTCTCAAACTGCACTTCCTAGTCAATCAGCCCAGAAAAGCAAAGTGTGATATTCAAAATCAAATTTTGTATTGAGAACCCAAGTTAAAAGATCATCTTTTCATGACTGACATCTAATGGATCTTACAATTAAACAGCACCGTTTTGTCTACTTGCCACTAAACTCCACTCACCCAAAGCCCAAACACGATCCAACACTCACTCCAGAACTTCTCTTTGAGACCCAATCTCCAGTGTGCAAACTCTAGAGTCCAAAGCAAGCTTTCATTCGAGTTTCCTATACAAACGCAAAGTTTCTTAGCAAATGCAAATGTCTCTTCTTCTTTTTTCTGGAATACAAAACGGTGTGTTTTCTTGTCATTCAGAAACACTTTAGCTAAAATCTTCCCAATTAATAACCCATGTTTCTTATCTGATATGTATGAACAATGTCTATCACAGAAGACACTAGCTATCAAATATCACCAAAGTAGACTAGATAAGTTCCTTGACTTTTGATTTAACCATCAGAAAATTATAACAGGGCGCGGAGCAGCCCGTAGCCAATGTTTCTTTCGAGTTGGACAAAATAACTCAATTTCACTCATTGGGTCATTTCATCAAACATAAGATTGCACATTGTTTCACAAATCAATCAACCACAACAGAATATCATTAAAATGCAATACAAAATTTAAATATTCTATCCAAAAAAAACTAAAAGATTCATTAATTCAGAATTTTAGATAACAGACCACAAAATGCCCCACCAAATGCAAATTGCAAAGAAAAGTGAATGACATATTATTTAGTAATCAATTAAATCGCTAAAAGATGAGGAGTGTCACAAAGCTATAAAGTTTCTTAAACTGAATTTACTTGCTATTTCCAATTTAAGTTAGGCTAAAAGCATCAGGAAGAAACAGTGCAGAGAGAGAACAAAAAAAACACTCACAAAGAAATGAATCGCAGTATGGTTGTCACCAAGCCCTAGCTCTTTCCAATCCACCTCCATCGTCCCTTCACGAAATACAGTAACAGAGAACAAGAGAGAGAGAACAGATGGTGAGAAGAGAAAATACAGATAGAAATGGGCATTTTGATATTTTTGTTAACATTACTGTCACGCGAGTGGCACATGACTGCATCACAATGAGTTTGAGATTAAAAAGAGAGTTGAAAATGGTTTATGTAACTTATGGAGGGATGAAAAAATGGATATAAAAACAGAGGGTGGTTGAAACATATTTAAGAAGGAAAATTGTCTCTTTTATTATTTTTTATTTTTTATTTGATTGATAGAAATGGATAGTAAAAATGTGACAGATGGAGTGACAACCTTTTTTTGATTGGTTAAACAAATAATAATAATAAATAATACACCCTCATTATATAAAATTATAAATTATATATATTTTTGTAAGAGATTTAAAGGGATAGGACAAATTTAAAAATTGTTCTAAATATTTATTTGTCTTTTATAAAAATAAGGGTAAAATTGATATTAAAAAAAATGAGCGTACTTTGTAGCTTGATAACAAAACCCACCAATCCTATCTGATTTATATCCAAATCTTTTTATTATTTTTTGTTTTAAAAGAAAGAAATTATACAAAACACAATATACCATTTTCTTCCATTAACTCTCCTTCTTTATGGCTTCCTTCCAATTCTCTCTAACGAAATTGGGCCTTAGGTAATTAATTGTTGGACGGAGTTGTATTGCAATTAATACACTAGATCCATAACTACACCATAATTCAATGTACAATCATCTTACTTTGTGTTGTTAACTTGTTATGCAATTTTTTTATATCGATAACCCCATAATTTTAGTAATTTATTGTATCATGAACAGTATATAACTATATATCATGATTTTAATAAATAAATAAAAAAGCACAAACTATTTTCGGATTAGAATTATAAATTTGTCCACTCTACTCATCAACTTTTTAAGACTTTTTTTTTCTTTTCTTTATTAAAAAGTTAAAACAAACAAACACTCATTATCCACAATATGTTTCGGATAAAACATAACATGTCAACCACGTCATTAAGAGGGAGCGATCAGATTGGGGACTTTCTTTTTTCATCCTCTTATTAGTTGCTTGAGCTTTAATTAATCCTGGATCTTTCTAATTAGAATTTATAAGGTTTTTTTTTATATATATAAAAGATAGGAATACCCACATATTGCTTTGGTGAATTTTTTGGGGGCTAAAAGGGTGGCCTTAAACAAGCATTTGTGTAATTGAAAGAGTCAAAAGCAAGAGAATCAGATCCATTGGTTACAATCTCTCCCACATACTTTCGGCCATAAGCTTAAGAAAAAGGAAAGATACCCTACACTCATGCCTTGCCCCCCTTTCTCATCATCTAAACAAGACTTATCCTTTTGGTTATGCCTTATGCATAAATTTAATTTGATGAAAATACCACTTCTTATAATTTAAATAGTTCTTGAAAATTTACATAAAATTTTTAAAAATTGAACATTTAGAATACATATATATATATATATATATTAAAAAGAATTCTTGTTATCAAACAGTACAGATCCTCTCATACAAGACACTAGTAATGCAACACTGCAATATATGCTACTTTGATTACAGCTTTTGTAGGAATATCGTGATTCAATTATCCCACCGAATGAAATTCTAGTTTCACATGAACTACGTACAGTGATGGTCATTTGTAAACAAAGTGTTTGGCTAGGATAAATGATAAGAAAATCATCTAGATAAGACCAGTCTCTTCTTTCTTTTTCCTTTTATCATTCTTTTAGAAACTGTTACTGATATTAAAATACAAAATTTGAGTGTCGACTATGTGGTCCTAAAGAGAGCATCTAATATATCCCCTACTAGAAGAATTTGAAGGATGATGGAGAAGAAAAGCATACCCCTCCAAAGTTGCTCTCTAGCACACTTTTTTTAATTAAAAAAAGCTAGCGTACGCAGTCCAAAAGAAGAATCCCCTAAACACATCCCACGCAACCTATTTGCCCCCTCTATTCTTTCCTCTTCCCAAAATACCCCTGCATTCTTTAAATGTGACCACCAAGGTCTGTGAAATGTGACTAAAAAAGGCTTCACGAGGTCATTATTACGCATGTATGACTCCAGGTTTACTTCATCAACTGTTTTAAGAATTCATTGTTGGGATAATTATAAAAGTTTCAACAGATAAAACTAAAAATGTGAATTCTAGTAATCTTCTTCTAATATACATGCAATTTTGGTTTATTATTATGAAAACAGTTTTCTGTTCTAAGAAAATTGAAAACAGAAAACAGTACAAAAATCTTTCCTTACTTCAGTTTTCAAAAAACAAACAAAACTCAGTTACACTATTTTCTGCACGATTTTTTAAAAGAGGTGTTGATGTAGAACATGATTGCTCGGCAAATAATTTCCTATTCTTAGTGATTCTTTGTTCTTCCAAACAACACTGTTAAAGCAAAGATTGGAAGAAGAAATCTGGTTGTTGTTGATGAGTAATGAGTATCAATTAAGCTACATGATCTCAACAATTTGATCCGTGTCATCGATATCACCTTTGTATTAAAGTTGTTTTTCAACATTAAGGATTTAGTTATTTAATTTTTTTGTTTCTTTAAACAAGCTTTAATTACTTAATAGTTCATCCAACCTTTGTTTTACTTTTATTGTGCATCTTTTTTTCTTTTTTGATAATAAGTTTTTTACTTACTGACCAAATGATAATGATAATAATAAATCATCACACCTTTATCTCTAAAAAGTGAAATTCTATAGGCTATATAAGATCAGAATATAAGGAAGATCACAAGCTTGTATGTAATATTCTGTCACCATTTCTTTTCTTTTTTTAAAAAAAGGCAGCTTATTTATTCAGCAATTCTAAAAACCTCTAATAAATAGTTCAATGGGCAAATTGAGTAAAGGAAAGGATGCAAGTGTCAATTGCTTGAAATGCTTTAAAGGAAAGTAGTTAAGCATGGCTTGGAATCAGCTCACTCCTTCCCAAAACTTTCCTCTTCACTCTCTCCTTTTCTATACTTTTCCTTAGCCCTTAAGTCTTCTCTCCTTCATCTTCTCAACTTCTTTCACATTCTGCAACATCAACAACATCCAAAAACAAAGCTTCTCTTTGTTCTTCAATGGCAGATACAGACCCTTTCATCAAACCACAAACACTAGGTTCACAAGTGCCCCAAAACCATACAGACACAAGTAAGTATTTCACTGATTTCCTATACAAAGCTGTAATTGTTACAATCTTTCTAGTTGTTCTTCCATTGCTCACTTCACAAGCTCCTGAGTTCGTCAACCACACACTTCACACCAGAAGTTGGGAGCTCCTTCAGCTTGTTTTTGTAGGTATTGCAGTTTCCTATGGCCTATTTAGTAGGCGAAACGAAGAAACAGAGAAAGAACATAGCTCAAAATTCGATAATGCACAATCATATGTGTCCAGATTTCTTCAGGTTTCGTCGGTTTTTGATGACGAGGCCGAGAACCCATCTGAGTTTGATGACAACAAGGTCCAAACTTGGAATTCTCAGTACTATAGGGGTGAACCAGTGGTTGTAGTAGCTCGAGAAAACTCTGTTCTTGAAGAACAGAGGAGTACTAGTTCTATAACTGGCGAAAAGCCGTTGCTTTTGCCAGTTAGGAGCTTGAAATCCAGGATCTCAGAGTCTGATGTTGTTGAATCAATTAATGAGTCTAGTGCTAAAACTGGTTCTCTTAGTAGGTCTAGTTCAAATTTGGGTTCTAAGCGTTTTTCAAATAGTTTTACCAAAACTAGAAATGGCGAATTTGGATGTTCAAATCCTCTGAATTCGGAGGAAAAGGTAGAGGAAAATGTTGTTCTTCCATCTCCAATTCCATGGAGATCAAGATCAGGAAGGATGGAAATGAAGGAGGATTTGGATGTTCCTCCCCTGTATTCTCTGCCTCCTTCAATGGAGGAATCTGAATTCAATCGGCTTGAATCGCGCTCTTTCAGGTCACAAACCTCTCTGTCATCCAGACCCAATTCCACTTCTCCCTCCCCAAACAAGCTGTCTCCTTCGCCATCACTTTCCTCGCCAAAAAAACCATCGCCTTTGCCGCCTTTGTCACCGGAATTGCATGCCAAGAGTGTCGAAGACACTGTAAGAAAGAAGATTCATTACAAGTCTTCACCTCCACCACCTCCTCCACCACCACCTCCACCATTTTATTCTCCAATGAAATCGAATTCAAATCTCAGAAATGATTATGTTTTTGCTGAGAAGGAATTGAAGAGGAGCATCAGAAGCGTGTCAAAGGACACGAATGGCAGTGGCAGAGAGGAAGTGCTAATGAGAACAAATTCAGGGTTAGAGTCAAGACCAAGAACCCAAAACTATGGTTCTTTGATGGGTCAGCCAGTTCGAACAATTAGATCAAATGAACCAGTTATGGGTGCTATGAATGGCATGGCAGAGAAAAGAGAAACAGAATCAGGTTTCATTGAAAGAACAAGAAGAACATTTCCTGTGATGTCAAAATCAACTTCCTCAGTGTATAGAATGGAAGAGATGAATGGAATTGAGGAAAATGTGGTTGTGGAAAGTGATGAAGATTCGGAGACTGAGAGCGATGACTTTGGAGGAAGTTCGGAGTATGAAGAAGTTGCTTCTAACAATGGGGGACCGGATGTTAACAAGAAGGCCGACGAGTTCATAGCCAAATTCAGAGAACAAATAAGGCTCCAGAGGATTGATTCGATCAAGAGATCGACTGGGCAGCTTCCTAGAAAATCTAAGTAAATTCGCTATGGTGTTCAAACTTTGATTTCTGTCTGTTTTATGTTTCCAACTCACTTGTTACTACAAGGTTTTCATACATAGATTTACATGTTCTACTTTCAACCAGCAACCACATTGGAGTAATGTTGGTCTTGGTCCCTTCATATTGTTGGTTATGGTTTTACTTTTGTACGCTTGTCAATTAAAAAGAAAAATATGGGTTTTTTTCCCTCTATATGTGATTTCTCATTTGGGTAACATTTGGTCAAATATTTTGTGGGTGAGTAATTGGCTACTCCTTTTTGAACTCTGAAAGTTCTATTGGAAAATATTATCAGAAATATGGGTGAACCAGTACTGTTTACTCGTGCTGTTTAGTGACATTTACCACGCAAGACATTTGATACACTAGATTGTAAGGTAAATCAATTTTTCTATTTTTTTCACCGCGAATACTATTTTCATTTCCAGTTTTTTCTCTTTTTTGCACGAGTCCTGCTGAATTCTTGGACCCGTTTTCTGATAAGTGTTCGAAAATAGTGAGCATTTCTTTCTCGATATGTGCTACAAGAGGAAAATAAAATTAAGAAAACCGATATGAAAGGGCTGAGGGATGTTGAATATAAGGGTACAATAAAAACAATGAGAATAACTCAACTAACATAAACATGTCCCGAGGGTTGCTGTCTTGCTGAGATTAATTTCAACTTAGGCAACCAGATCAACCATTAGGCTTGGGCTTGGATAAGCCTTCAAATCAGCCCCTAAAGCCCATTAACGACTTTAAAGACGAAAAAGAACACAGTAGTAAAAGAAAGAAAAAAACTTTGCCAATGTAAAATTAAGATTTAAGTTCAAAACTTTGCCCTATTCCAACCAACTTGAAACTTTGACAAGCACGACTTTACACCAATGGCAACCAATTTCAAAGTCAAATTATTAGATGCATGCTCCCTTAGCTTAACTGACAAGTTCGACTGTGTCAAAAGCATTTTTTTCTGTCAAAAACCCTCCAAAGTCATAACTCAATAATCAAATTAGAAGTCAGTTGCTTGACTGATGCGCCGGGACATACCAAAGTTGGTTTATGTCAAAATATCTCCCTAGTCAAAGAACCAAAACTTGTAAAGCCTCTCAAATTAGGAACCACACTCGATTAAAGAACTCACTTTGGGTGAACATTGTGACCCTAATTTCTCCAATCAATCATAAAAAAGAACTTATATGAAATCACGCCAACAATTTTACCTAAAACGCGATATATATTCACAATAAATATATATATATATATATATGAAAAATGGTTGGCCAATGCGCCTTCACAATATTCATTATACCAATAGTAATACTCATACCGAACATTCGCATTGAATTTATTAACTTAATAATTTTTAATTAACTATTTATATTAAATACAATTAAATGAAGGGCTTCACTTCCTTATTTATTACATAATTAACTAATTAACTCACTATAACTATTCGGTCCAAAAATCAATTCCCTCATTATACATGTATAAAATAATTGGCTCTACGAAAACTGAAGGACCGAACTTCTTTGCATAATGCTGAAATATTTTACTTAGAATTCGTATGGGTCGCACCCGAAAGCATTCTGTTCGGCCCTCTACTTTCGAAAGACCTATCATAAGACCCTCTTAATAGTGTGTGTTCTATATACAATACAAAGACATTCTTATGTAATTTATTTTGATGTAACTTAGGTTTAGAGTTAATATTACAACCTTAAACCAATTATATATAATTATGGACTATTTTACATTCAAAGTCCCCTTCACTATCTTCAAAAGTTCCTCCTCTTGCCCCCTACCCTGAAAAACGAAGATGGATCAATAAAAACTAAACAACTTGAGCCCCACCACATCACATCCAAACGACTATATCTTAGACCTCATAGATACAACATGGTACAGTACTACTACAATAGATTCCATATTGTTGTCTAAGCCAAGGATCAACATTTTGGATGACGGTTTTGCCCTTGAATTTGTCCATAATCACGATCGAGGGTGGAGAGCATCTAGTGGCCTGTGTGTGACGGGAGCGGTGGCCCACGGGTTGAACGGGATGGACCGCTGGCTGGCTGGGGCCATCAGACGGGACCTGGGGTCGACTGGTGTGGCTGTCGTGGACGATGATGGTGGCGGTGGTGGGACTCCGACACGCTCACATGAAGGGCACATGGTGAGGGTGGTGGGAGGGGTCATTTGCATGTAGAAATGTGGGGACATTTTCAGTGCCCTCAGCTCCTGCACTTCCTTCTGTAGCCTCCTGTTCTCATCCGTCAGATTCTCACAGCACCTCTTCAAGAACTCGTAGTCAACCTCAGTTTGCTTCAACTTGGTCCTGTACACATCATTTGCACCACTCGTTAATTATGCGACTCCAAAGGGTAGAACTGTAATTTAGCACATTAGACATCCACCAAACCTTTAAGTAATGTTTGGCGTATATATATTTTTTTATAAAAAAGGGACTTGTTAAAAATTCATCAAGAAGACGATAACCAATCTTGAATTGAACTCTTAAAATTAGACTTTAGTTAGTCAAATGATGATTTCACAAGTGAAATCTAATTAACATATAAAATACAAAAAATATAAAATATTTGCTGACTAACCGTTGAAGTCTTTGTCACCCATCAAATATACTAATTTATAAAGGCCGTATACAACATATTAAGCTTTTAGATGTTACAGGTGATGTCAGAGTAGACTCGTTACCCTAATCACCCAAACTAAAGGAACCAACTTATATATCATATTAACATAATAAATTCCACTAAAAAGATTAATTCACTTACCAAACACTTTAAATTTAGAAAATACAGATAATTTCTAAATTTTCAGTTAATACTTAAAAGGGTAAGCACATGGTTATTTGCATGTTAATAATAAAGTTGTACCATAAAAACAAAAATTATGGTAATTGATGAAACTTAAATACCGAAAAGAACCTTGAACCAGAAGTAAAATATCTCACCTTGCCCTCCTATTCTGAAACCAGACCTCCACCTGACGTGGAGTGAGCCCAAGTCGCTTAGCCAAGCCCAGTTTTTGCTTCTGCAAAACCAAAAAACACATCCCCAAATTATCAGCAAAATGACCAAAATACCCCTCCACCGAATCATCTCCATTAAACAGTATGTAGCATGCAGTATCCTTACAGGGTTGAGAGTGTTGTGTTCTTTGAAGCTCTCTTCAAGAATCGCCGACTGGTCCTTGGAGAGCCTGAGCTTCTTCCTCGAGGTCTCGCCGTCTTCTTCGTCGCTGATACCTCGAGAGCAAGCCCTCTCGTTGTCGTGTTCGTCTACGTTGGCCTCTCTCTCGCTCCTCTTCCCGCTCACGCTCGAGATCGTGCTGTTCGGAGAAGAAACTCCGGCCTCGTCCTCGCATTCCGCCGTCGACGGCAATCGATTCACGTCGATTCCTTTGAGATACGATCTCGCCTCCACCACTCTGCATGTCTCCGAGTTTCGATCTGTATATAAAAATCAATCGATTTGATTTAAATTATTTACAAGATGAAATTACAGAGAGGTGTTTATGAATGAAAGAGAAAAGCTCAAATCAGCCATTAAATGAGCTTCTTTAATTTGAGTAAAAATTGTCATATATATGCATACATGTAAGTTTATATATATATATATAGAAAAAGAGAGATTCGAGCGTTTTCGAATATAAGAGAAAAGTTCATTTGAGAACGATCGAATAATTTAATAAAGCTAACTGTACGAAACGTCGAACATGAAAAGGCAATATTATATATATATATATATATATATATATGAAAATACTACGAAGAAAAAAGAATAAAATTTCAATCAGAAGCTAAAACAGATCTGAAAGTTTCAGAGAAAAAGAGTGGAAAAATGAAACAGAGAGAATCAGAGAAAGGGAAAACAAACCTGAGGAAGGGAAAGTTTGGTTCCAATTGTTTTTGTGAGGGTTGAAAGGGGAAGGAGAAGAAGATGGGAGGTGCGAAGGCAACAGATTGAGCTGCAGTGAACTCCGGTTATCCGGAAAGTTCAAGCTCAGACTCAAACCCAGGTCTTGATCTTTCTCAACCATCATGTTCTCTCTCCGGCAACGATAGAACTTTGTTGCTCTATTGTGCTTTTCAAATACAGAGTTTGTGAGAGAGAGAGAGGAGGAGGAATTGTAGAGAGAGAGAGTGTGTGTGTGTGTGTGTGTGTGTGTGTGTTTGTTTTGGAGATTGGATTCCACGAGAGGGGGGGTGGTGATGGGGGGTTATATAGAAGGGAATGGGGAATGGGGTGGGCATAGTTTCAATCATGACATGGTGTGTCAGGAGGTGCCAATTATTCAATCATGCTTTGGCCCCACCCACACCCCTCCCCCAAACTATTTATTGCCCAACCCACACTTTGTTTTGTCCTCTCTCTCTCTCTCTCTCTTCATACATACTTATATAGAGAGAGAGTGACAGAGATTTGTACTATGAACACACGCATAATGAGGCTAAATGATGGATTAACTCAATTGTTCATTAATTGTGTTTTTATGTTGTGCTAAGTTGCATGCATTGAAATCCATTAAGGAAAGAAAATAAATGAATAAAAATCGATTAATGTTCCATTTTTTTTTTTTTTCATGGGTAAAAATTTTCAGGTACCCATTTATAACTGCAGAAAGTTACTTTATGAGAAACTTAAGATATGATCTTTCGTATATTTAATGTATCATTTTCGGTAAATTCTAAATATTAATAATTTTTTTAATTTTTTATTATGTTTAAAATAGCAATAATTATTAATATTTCACCAAAATGATGAAATTTACCATCAAAATTAAAGAAAGCATTACTTGGATTAATTTTTTATTTTATTTTAATTTTTTGGGGGCTTAAATTTCAGTACAAGTTTCAACACGTTATTAATAATTTGACATTTAATTTTCTTTTTAATACGAGGACTAAAATTGAATCGAGAAGTTTCTGTATGATAATTTTATTAAAATATATATTTTTTTTCAAATATGATGGTAAATCAAACATTGATTATTTGACTTGATTATCATGTGATCCAACCAGTCAAAGAAGAAAGATTAGTATACAAGAAACATATAGGTCAAAGAAGACTAAACGGAGAGTTGGTAGAAATTGGAGAATAAAGCATACAATACAAAAACCAAAATTGTAATGAGCAAATTGCATAAATCCCCTTTACTTTTAATTTATTCCAAGAAACCCATGCAAAAAAAATTACATAAAACTCTTCTACTTATTTTTTTTGTTGCAAGTGATATTATTATGAAAAAAGTGCCCCTTAATATAAATTTTAGAAAAATGATGTCTCTTAATATAAAAATAAAATTAATATACATAAAACTCTTCTACTTATTTAATTTGTTGCAAGTGATATTATTATGAAGAAAATGCCCCTTAATATAAATTTAAGAAAATAATTTCTCTTAATATAAAAATAAAATTAATGCAATAACACATTCGTCATAGTAGTATTAAATTTTTTTTAAAAATTTTTTTTATTGGTGCATCTATAAGAAAAATAAAAATATTAAGACCAAATAAATTCTCTTAAATTTACATTAACAAATATTTCGTATAAATAAAATTCAAGGGTGTTTATATTAAAAATCTTATCAAAAAGTATTTACGTTAAAATTAGTAATTTTTAAGTATTTTAAAAATGGTATCTTCAATTTTAATTTCATACCACTAAATGGAACATAATATTTGTAACACCCTACCCAGCATAATATTATCTACTTTTGATTCCCTCGAATCAGATTTCTTAAGAGATCATCTATTTTGGTACTATTTCAAAATAAACAAATTTAATTACAAAATTCTGATAAGTTCATAATTTTTAAAGCGCTTTGTGTTAGAATAATATTGAACTTTACATATTACATTTCATTTTCCTATGATAATTATACCTGTAATTTGTCGATTTGATAACTTATTTAGTCTCTCGCACCCCCCATAAAAGTCGTGGCAGTATCATTCTAAACAGAAAAAATTACAAAGAAAAATAATTTGTAAGACAATTCAGAGAGACTAAAAACTTGGTTGATTAGCACAAAGTACCGTGCTTAAAAGTCGTACCAATGTAATTTAATTGTGCGTGTACGGTGAGTTTTCTTTTTCACAAACCAGGAACTTTTGTGCGTCCGATCATGATTTGATGGTCGGTCCGAAAAATCGTCACAGAACGGCTATGATCGATCAATTATATTCGTGGGGTCCAAATTTTGAACTCCTGACTCTCTCTGGTTAGGGCCACGCCAGTTAAGCGTGGACAACCATCAAATCATGATCGGACGGTTATGATTTCGAATGGACATATAAACTTTATAGCAACATCACACTGGGTCCCACCTCCTTATCTCTTCTTCCAACCCAACGAAACAGTCACTTTCTTAGCCTTTTTCTGTTGTAAGGAACGGCATGCACCTTCGAAGTGAAACACCAACCATCGATCATTCAGCGCGTCCTGTTCACGCTCGCGTAGTATATGTCTGAAGGGACTTATCCCACATTGGATAGGATTAACTGCATTAAAAATTTTGGGCAATACAAGTGGAGTATGTTATTTTTTTTTAATTCCGTGTGACGCCAAGCATTCACTTGAATAGAATTAGAATTTGCGTTCAAGAGATGAATTTGAGTCCCAAGCGTTATCAAATCATCTCTTCTTTAGGGTAAGTGGTGTGGGAATATAAGGTTATTTATCTACTTTTTAAAACATAGAATGTCACATAAATTAAAAATTGACGATGTAATACTCTATTTTTTTTTTTATTCATATGTTCCATGATGTGGAGTCCAATTATCACATTCTCTATTTATTATTTTATTAATTTAATTGTAAGACCTACATAAAAAGGCACACCCTGTCAAGATAGAAGCCACACAGTCAATTACACAAATAAAAAAAAATTTAGTGAATTGTCCAATGCCCACTACTTGCTACTACGTACCGACCCCTCTCTCTCTACACTGACACACAGTCACTCTAAAGTAACTTGCGCCCCATATGCTCTTAGTGATCGGCAATGAGAGCAATAGCAATAACATGCTAAACCATGTCATTTTTATGCTAACAAGAAATTAGTCATTTAATTTGTCCATGTCATTTTTACGCTAACAAGAAATTAGTCATTTAATTTGTCCTTATGAGAATTTGAATTCTAATTTTCTATTTCCAAATGTAAGTACCACTGAGTTTCGATCTGTAATTAAAAATAATAATAATACATATTTACCAACAAATATATATATATATATATATATATATATATATTTGAAGTTGGAATTCAATTATGAATTTCTTATCTAAAATTTGAATTTGTAAGAGTAACTACAAGGGGTGTATACGGTTCGATTTGGTACAGTTCTTGATGGAATCGAAACCGAACTACTCCCAATGGTTCTTAAAAAATTAGAACTGGAACCATTGGGACATAGAACAAAACCATGAAAACCGGTCCGATTCGGATCGGTTTACGGTTTTCATTTTAAAAAATTTAAAAATATATGTTTACTTTAAAAAAAAAATTATACTTTTGCTATATTATTTAAATTAATGCATAAATGCTTACTGAATATCACATTCATTCTGTTATGTTAATTAGTATGTCTAACTCACTTTAATAAACATTTTTATAAATTGTTATTGCAGGAACCAGACATTTGGACTAATGAAGTAATGATCCCTATTATTTTTTTTTTGTGCATGTAAATATTGAAATAATAATATCTTAGAAAGAGTTGAAGATTCAGAATGCATCAAACCACTCTATATTTGATCCAAACAATTATAATATATATTATCATTATATTATATAATTTAAAAATAATGTATAATATATACCTAATATATAACCGGTTCAATTCAACTCCAAAATCAAAAACGAACCGAAACTCAACAGTTTTAAAATTTTAGAATCGAAATCCATATTGAACCCGATTCGGTTCTGCTGATTTTTTGTGCAGCCCTGTTAAACTACCCCCTCATTTTTCCCAACCTGTGTGTGTGTTTTGGACGGCAAATGAAAGAGCGTGGAGAAAGTGGTAATGTCCAATTATTGAGAATATAAGTGGGCAAGGTTGGCTTTGGAGCGAGCCAAGTTCATTTAGACGGCTGTATGATATGGATGTGGCGGCGGCTAACATCCATATCATGTAGGTATGATTACGTTTGTATAGTGGAGCAAGGTGGAAAGTGAGAGGACGTAACTTATCCAATGGAAACTAAGAAGGAAGTGAGCAACAAGAATGCGAGATGTGCTACTTGTATGTCCTCTTACCTCAATGCCTTTGGTATTCTCCTTTCTAAGCCATACATTTGGGAACTTTTCCGAAATACAATATGTGGTGGATGTGTAAAATAAATGGTATGAGAATGACCCCTAAAAATTTCTTTTATTTTTTTATGTATAGTATTTTAATTTTCTACCAAGATTTTTTCTCAATAACATAGGAAGGGTATTCATATATTTGGGTGAGACTAATTTATCTAAAACATTCACATACTTTAAAATATATATATATATATACACTGATAGAGCAAGCATTTTTAATGTACGAAATAGTTGATTTAATGACTAAGTTTTTATTGAAAGGAGTACCAAGTATCTAATCTGAAATTTCTTTAAAGAAAAATTGAAATCTAAAAAGCTTATAAAGATTAAGTAAGAGTAAAGATACAAAAATTACTCAATAACTATCACACCAATCGGTATGAAAATTATTCGAATATATATATATATATATCATTTTTCATTAAACAATTAACAAGAACACTAAATCCATAATCATTAATATTTGGGTGGACAAAGTGAGAAGAATGCCCCTATTGATTATATTTTGGGTAAATAATACATCTAAATCTCTATTTTGGGTATTCAAGTCCGATAAGTTTGAAAAAATTATAGATGGCTCGATAGCTTAGTGAATTAGTTTATCCGGTAAATTTTGAAATGTCAGACTTTGACTCTATGTATGTACTAATCTATCTTCTAACACTTCTTATCTTGAAAAAAAAAAGTTTGAAAAAATTAACAAATAATGACTTAATTCGTATAATATGTCAAAAAATCACCTTTAAAAACTATTATAAGTAATAAAATTTTCAAAATGCCCCTTATGCCAATTTACTTGTAAATCACATTTCACTCTTTCTTTGTAAATGCATCTTCATTTTTCTCTTTCTACTCCCGAATTTTTAATGCCTCTCCAC